GCCTGGGTAGCGCTGGGTCAGTGGTTCCGCCCCCAGGCTGGGCAGCTGGGCACACCGCGCCCCCAACTTGGGTCCCAGCCCGGCGCGACCGCCCTGCACGCTGGGCAGCCTTGATATCATTACCTGTGCATCTCCGCACGGTGTAGGGGGCGTGTGTGTGTGTGTGTGTGTGTGTGTGTGTGTGTGTGTTGAAGGGAAGGGGTCTCTGAAGTCACTCCTGCAGATTCTTATCGTGACCTCGGACAGGTGAATAACCGCTCTGAGCCTCAGTTCCCTCGTGTGCAAAACAGAGATAATATAGTACCCATCTGAGTGTTGTGAGAAGGACCTAATGAGATAATGGACGGAAAGCATTTAGGGCCCTACCTAGCACTTCATAGGAGCTCCATAAATGTTTGTTTGCTTGTTCTATTTTTCTATTATTAATTTGCCATTCATCCTGGCTCCCTTTGGGCAAAAACTTGCTCTTCTCTCCTTCTGAGAACTCAACTCAGAGCCCCTCTCCTAGTGAGTGTGGTGTCCTGTCGTCATGTCCCACCCCCCACACTAATTGCTTCCCATACCCCTCTCCACTCTGCCTGGGGAGGGGAAGGGAGCTGCGTTTATGGAGTGCCTACAATGTGCTAGGGCTTCATAATGTATCATCTCATCCAACCCCCAGGACATCCTTCTGAGGTCAGCATTATTGTACCCATTTGCCTGATTAAGAAGGTGAACTCAGAGTGGTCCAGGGACTTGTTTAAGGTCAAGCAGAGAAGGCTCCATAGAGGGGCAGAGTGAGAATCAGAAAGGAGGCTCCCAGCCCTCCACCATGCTGGCCCCTCCCAGGGTCTGAGTCTTTGGGGGCTGCGTGAGGGTTGAATTCTCCCAGGCAGGAGCCCAGACTGCTAGGCTTTGGGCTCTTAGAGAAACTGGCCTGATCCAAAGCCTTCCCCTCGACTGGTGCTTGGTCGTGGCCACCGACTCCGGAAGGCCATATCACGTCATCATGGAAGTTAATTACGTGTCCAATTCCAGGCAGAGGAAACCAGGGTGTGAACTCAGCAGCCAGCATTCAAGAGAAACATGCAAATCACCCTTAGCTTCCTTTGCTTGTAAATATGAGTTATTATCGTGCAGAGGGTGATTAAATCCTGGAACCCCAGTGGTCATCACGGCCAGCCGTGCCTGGCTTTGAGCCGCCTGGCATCTCTTTTCCAGGGAGTGCCCCACTGCCCCCTTTGCCGTCTTTCCCGTCACTCTCGTGGGCCTGAATCCTTTGGTCCAGCCTTGATTTTGCAGGAGTTTCGGCCCAACCCCAGTGTCGTCCTCTGTGGAAGATGGAGCCCAGCTCAGTGTCTCGTGCTTCCACCCGCAGCTTCAGCTGAGGTTGCCAGCTGTATGACTAATGGCTTCAGGATTACGTGTTTTGACTCTAATTTTCTCCAGGAATAGTAGTACTGGAGAAGTCTTTCCTTGGTGTCTCCCTGCGGAGAGGAAATAGACTTACCCTGAAGCATGGAGGACTTAAATTAGACTTGTGGAGGCACTTACATGAGGCTTTCTTGGGCCTTTCTGGGTTTTGGTGGGTGGATGGAGCAGACTTTCTGTGCTATCACAGAGGAGGTTAATAATCAGCCTTTGTTTACACAGATAATTAAGTGCATTTAAAATCCAGAGACTGGAGGGCTGCAGGCTGAGTTGTGCTTGCTAGGAACACAGCCTGAAGGGGATGGAATTGAAAAGTTTGACACCTGGAGCATAGTGGTCCTCAGAGTGTCAGTACTAATCCCTGACCCAGCCTCAGGGGTACATGCACCCTGAGTCCCCTTCATTATTCTTGGAACCCAGCGGGGGTTAATGGGCTGAAGCATGAGAGAGTCAGACACAGTCAACGGTCATTGACTTCCCCATAGGGAGGGTTGGTGGTCACGGGTGCTGGGGAAGAGGAGGGCCATTCCATTCTCTGCCAGATTTTCTAGAACTCACTCCCTTGCCCTTTTAATTCCCAATCCACCACTCTTTAGATGAGAAGCTAATGCTCGGTCTTGGTTGTCACGTCTTCTTTACCCGCCAGTGGGCCCCAGGAGCCAGTTCAAGGCAGGGAGCAAACACCTGCTGAGCACCCAGCAGGAACCAGGCCCAGAGGGTGAAGGAGGAGCCTACTGCCCCAGGCAGGGCAGGCGCACACGGAGGACCTCACTGCAAAGCCGAGGAGGGTCTGGCGCTAATGGAGGAATGCCGTGCCACGGGGACTTGCGGGACAGTGAGCCTCCGGTTCAGGGGCTTGGGGCCAGAGGTCAGAGCGGGGTCCTTGGAGCAGATGACAGTTTGGTTGGGCCTGAAGAATGGTGAAGAATTAGATGTGCTGAGATGGGAGAGGGGAGGAGGATTCAGGCAGAGGGATTGGTGTACAAAGACACAAAACAAGGGAGACCCTAGGATGTGAGAGGAACAGTGGGCGGTCCACTTTGGCTGAAAAATAGGAGATAGACGAGGGCAGGGGGAAAGGAGGCGGGCTGGGGTGGATGGTGGATTTGGTGGATGGGCGGAGTGGCTCAGAATGTCAAGCTGAGCACCGCGAGGTGCTTGACCTGGAGAGGGCCGTGCTCAGAGGGATGAGAGCTAGGCGTGGGCCAGACATGGGGCTAGTACCTGAGGGTGTGTGTGTGAGAGTGTGTCTGTGTGTGTGTCTACTTTGGTAACCCAAGACATCATTATGCAACATCTTGAACATCAATGTGCCCGTTTCAATGTGCTTTCTTCTCCATGGTTTAGTGGCCGAAAGTGTTTCTGGAATCAGACATGGCTGGGTTCAAGCCTGGGCTGTGCCACTTACAATCTGGTGAAAAGTTACCTAACCGCTCTGAGCCTCAGTTTCCTTTGTATCTAGAATGAAGATGCTACACTCGTCCAGGGGCGTGGTGAGGATAGCGAAGTGTGCATGTAAAGCATTAGGACAATGCCTGGTGCATAGTCAACGGTCAATAAATACCAGCTGCTATTATTATTGTTGTTGTTATTTCCCGTCTGTTGCTCATTGGTCACCCCAGGTACCTGCCCTGGTAACCATCCCCAGCTCCCCCCACTCCCCACCAGCTCCCCAGGCCAGCCTGCTCTTTCAGGTCTGGGAGTGAAACCAGCAAACAGCCAGTGATGATTAAGCAGCTAGTAACTATGGGGGATTGGAATTGGCCAGCTCAGAATACGTCTCTGCCTGAATGACATTTTGGCCCCCACTCCCACTAACTAACCAAAGGAGTTTGGGATGGGAGGCCTACCCCGGAATAGGCCATCACCATAGACATCTCCGGTGTCTGGGTGGGTCTGTGCTAAGCCCATTCTTAGTTCTGGTTACCCTTGATGAGAGACATTTACATTTGAAAAGAAAATCTCCATCTGTAAAGATATCTTCTTCCGTGTACCAGGAAGAAGCAGGGGATGGCCTTACCTAGAAACTTATCAGAATGGAAGGCGAGGACTTAAATCTGCATGATAAACTTACTCATTATTGACTGTGCTGTTTGGGCAATATGCTGTCTGACTCCCACTAAGTTCCTATAGATGACATCCCCCTGGAGCCTGGGTTACCATGGTAATGGGTGTTTGAGCTATTTTTTTCAGGAACTGAACCCCTTGTCCACTTCAGGCTGGATTGAGACCACCAACCCATCAACTGGGCCCTTTTGACAGCAAGAGGTTGGAACTCCACCCTCAGGGCATGCTAATGCCCCCATTCTGTGAACTTGTGTCCTACAGAGGCATGAAGGCTGACTACGCTTGCGCAGATCATCAATTACCTCATCTCTCCTCACCTCCGATCATTTCAGACCACCTTGCCCCCGTCCCCATAAATACCCTTGAGTCCCTATTTTTGGGGAGGCGGATTTGAGACTTGTTCTCCTGTTTTCCTCACTTGGCTGCCTTGTGATTAAACCCTCTCTCTCTGCAATCTCGTCGTCTCGGTGATTGGCTTTTTGGGCGGCTGGCAAAAACGGACGTGGTGCCGTAACAGGAGCTGTGGTCTCCTCACACGGATGCTCTCTGGCTGGGACCCCCAGTCCCACCAAGTCACTCGAGGCTCAGACCTTATCAGAGAAGCTCTTCTGAAAGTGTCCCAGGAAACAGGGAGCCCTCTGCAAGAGGCTGTGTGGACAATGTGGCCCTGTGCTTCCGGTCTAGCTGACCGAGAGACTCTGTGTTGGGTGGGGTGAGGAATCGTGAAGGCTCATGGGAAGGGACGGAGGTGGATGGGCAGGCTGGGGGTCTTAGGACTCCAGATATTTGGAATGCTGACCCCACGTTGCTTACACAGAGCCACCAACCTCATGGGCCCTGCAGCATGAAGTAGCTGAGCAAATAATTTGTTGGTTGTGTGGTTGACTTTTCTGTGCTTTGGGGAGGGGGGAGGGGGGAGGGGGGCACGGTAGACACAATCTCCCTCAGGCCACGCCAAGGGCCAAGTGTCCTAGGTTGCCTCGAAGAGTTGGCCCTGAGACCTTGCCTGCGGGGCCCCTGGAAGGCTCTTCCTCTCAAAGCTGCCGGGGTCCACCTGCCCCCACTCCACCCATCCCCCGCGCCCCCCCGGCCCTAGCATGGCCTGTCCTCTGTCCCTGGTCTCAGCTCATCTGTGGCCCGAACTGAAGGACTGAGGTTATGAGTCTAGCTGACCATCTGAAAGAAATCATCCCAACCCGGCTTCCCTTCCCTCCTTAATTATCTCGCAAAGTGCAGAGTCCACAGGCCTTGGCTGACCTTGACTCTGAGGCACCCTCAGGCCCTCAACTGTGGAAGAAATGCTGTCAAGGCTTCAGAGTTGCCTGAGTGTAGGATTTTCCAAAACCCCATCTTGATGATGTTGCCCTAGGAGAGAGGAGAAATGACTGTGAAATTCCCCAAGCCCATAAAGGTGACAAAATGGCCACTCCACATGGTGAGGCAGGCAGACTCAGGTGCCCGGGGTATATAAAAGGGATGGGCAGCGAGGGAGAGAGCAGAATCCTTCTCTTCTTCCTCTGGCTTTGTCTCCTCCAGCCTAGAGTCACCATGACCTGTGGATCGTCTTGCTTTAGCTCCGGTAGCGGAGTCTGCAAATCCAGCTCCTGTGTGACCACTCAGAGATACAGTTCTGGCCGCACCTTCAGCTGTGCCTCAGCCTGCGGGCCCCGGCCCGGCCGCTGCTGCATCACGGCCGCCCCCTATCGCGGCGTCTCCTGCTACCGTGGCCTCACCGGGGGCTTCGGCAGCCGCAGCGTCTGTGGGGGCTTCAGTGCCGGCTCCTCTGGTCGTGGCTTCGGATACCGCTCTGGCGGTGTGTGCAGACCTAGCACACCCAGCATCACCACCGTGTCGGTCAACGAGAGCCTCCTGGCGCCCCTCAACCTGGAGATCGACCCCACGGCTCAGCGTGTGAAGCAGGAGGAGAAGGAGCAGATCAAGAGCCTCAACAGCAGGTTCGCTGCCTTCATCGACAAGGTGGGTGTCCTTGATCACACCCTTCCTGAGCACCACCCATGCTCAGGACTTAGGCTGGGCGCTGAGGGGAGAGTCAGAGGCAGGAGAATGGGGTCCAGGTGAGCTCCTAGTCTGATGGAGAGATGGACACACATCCAGGGCACAGACACAGAGAGATGAGAATAGGGCGCGGGTTCCTGGTTTGATAGCACCATTATTAAATACGACCTTGGTCCAGATTGGCAGAGTCCCCACAGAGAGACAAAGACAAGGCTTGGAACTGCCTATCAGAGGGAGGAGGCCATACATGCATACAAGACACATAAGAAATGGGAACAGGACCACAGCGTCATCCTTTGGGATTACCTTGCTATCTGAAACTCCCAGCCTGATTATACACACACACACACACACACACACACACACACACAAACACACAGACCCATAGTAAACGCTGGGACCAGCTGAGGCCTGCTGGGCAATGTTCCCTTCAGATGGGTATGGGCCAACAGGAGAGTTAGCCAGGGAAGGTTTCCTAGAGGAAAGCTCTGTTGTTTGGGAGGGGCTTGTGATCCCTGGCATGGTGATGCCAGCTAGGAAAAACGATGTCTCCACTTGATCATGGGAAGCTTGGACTAGTACTTGTAGCCATTTCAAACAATAGAGAGAGGTCTGGTGTGTAGGTGGGAGGGCTGGGGGGAAAGGCTGGTGTGGAAGCCGGGGGGAGATGGGTCCTCCGGGATGCTAGAATTATGGGTGACTGGATGGCTATTCCTCTGGGCGGCAGGTGCGCTTCCTGGAGCAGCAGAACAAGCTGCTGGAGACCAAGTGGCAGTTCTACCAGAACCGCAAGTGCTGTGAGAGCAACCTGGAGCCGCTGTTCAGTGGCTACATCGAGACGCTGCGGCGGGAGGCCGAGCGAGTGGAGGCCGACAGCGGGAGGCTGGCCTCGGAGCTCAACCACGTGCAGGAGGTGCTGGAGGGCTACAAGAAGAAGTGAGTGTGGTGGGGAAGGTCCGTTTCTCTCAGAAGGGGATACCTGATATAACAGCGGGGATCCACTGAACACACTGGCCTTAGAAGCTTCCTTCTTCTTTAATCCACTCTGTGCTTTTATCGGCTTTAAAGGCAGAGACAGGAAGACACGTGAAGAGAAGAGAAGCTGAAATATCAGCTGTGAGCCTTTCCCCATCGCATTCTGAACTTTTCAGGATAGAGACCGTATCCCTATTCATCCATCCATCCATCCATCCGTCCATCCATCCATCCCATAAACCTGGTCTGAGCTCTTACTCTATTCCATTATTGTGCTAGGCACCAGGGGTACAAAGAAATGACACCACCTCTGCTCCACTGTTCCCTCTCACTGGTTCCTGTTGCTGATTCCACTCACCTGCCCAGATCTAAGCCCAGGCAATTAGCTTATTATATTAGAGTAATAGCAAAGCCAAGATCTTTAAAATGAGTAATGTTTATTTAAGTTAGAGAAATGTACTATTAGAGATGTGGGTGAGAGGGGTGTTTCAGAGCTGGGGGAGGGAGATGGATGAGAGGGATATTTCAGACGTCCCAGGGGAGGGACATGACAGCTCAGGTTGGCGTGGTCTCTCCTCCCTTCCATTACTAGCCAAATCTCTGAATAATCCCCCAAACCCCTTTCTTTTGTGGAGGTATGAAGAGGAGGTCACCCTGAGGACTGCGGCAGAGAACGAGTTTGTCATAGTCAAGCAGGTGAGCGAGTCTGCCCGTGGGCCGGCAGCCTGGGAGTCTGGCAGCCCCCAGGGGCATCCAGTCCTCCCTCCTTCAGTCAAAAAGCTCATGCTTGATTTCCACCCACGGAAGGGCATTCTTCTCCTCACAGCCCAGGAAGTCCATAGGGCAGGAATTCTCTGGATCTTCCTTTCTAGAGAGATGGAAGGGCCTTCCACAGTCACACAGTCCATTCTGCTCCAGTTGGAGGGAGAGCTTAGTTCCCTGACCCTCGACTTCTGGATCTATGACTATGACTTGCTTTCCGGGCTGGGATGGGATTGGGGATTTCTCCAGGGTTGCACCAGGGGAGGTGGGAGTCCCCGGGAAAACCGCCGCGACACCGAGGGACCACCCGTGTGTCTGTGTCTCCAGGAGGTGAATAGTGCCTACGTGCGCAAGGGAGACTTGGAGGCCAACGCCCACAGCCTGGTGGAGGAGATCGGCTTCCTGAGGACGCTGTATGAGGAGGTGAGCATCGGCAGGGGGGACATCAGTCACCCCTCCTCCCTCTGTGCCAGACCAGCCTGTGTACAGAGGAAACAGAGAGAGGGGTCTGTAGGCCTGAGGGCTTTGGAAATGGTGCCTGTGTGTGCGCGCATGTGTGTGTAAAAAGGAGGAGTGTGAGCTCTGTTCTACTTGGCTCTCGATGGTATATGTGATGTGGATGGCTCTTGGCCCCCAGGAGATCCGTGTTCTCCAAGCCCACATCTCGGACACCTCGGTCATCGTCAAGATGGACAACAGCCGGGACCTGAACCTGGACAGCATCGTGGCCGAGATCAAGGCTCACTACGACGACATCGCCAGCCGCAGCCGGGCCGAGGCTGAGAGCTGGTACCGCACCAAGGTGAGTGGCACAGGACACCTGCCTCCTAGACATGGCAGTGGGAGGGATGCGAAGTATATATTAGCAAGGCTTCTTTTGTCAGGGGATTCTGATCCCTAGAGATGGTAGGAAGGGCAGCTCTCAGGTTGGGGTGGCTGGGCAGGGCTGCCATGTGTGGTTGTAAACGCTGAGCACTGTACAACCTGCACTATCATCTGTGGTGTCCTGATGGGCGGGATGTCCCATCCTGAGCCTCAGGAGCCTCTCTGCTTCCCCCAGTTCGAGGAGATAAAGGCCACGGTGGTCCAGCACGGGGAGACCCTGCGCCGCACCAAGGAGGAGATCAACGAGCTGAACCGCCTGATCCAGAGGCTGACCGCCGAGATCGAGAATGCCAAGCGCCAGGTAATGGTCGTTTGGGGCCCACCCAGGGTGTGTGAGCCCAGTGTGGATCTCAGCACTCATCCTCCAGCCCGTGTGCCTGACATGACTAGAGTCCCTGCTTGTGGTCGCTCAGGGAGACCCAGGTGATGAGGGCGAGAGGCCTGTTCCTGGGTGTTCCTAGCTGGGCAGGAGGACTGGACACAGGCAGGAAATGGACAGAGAGACCCAGGGACCATGACCCACCTCGTTCTCCTCTGGGTCCCCAGAACTCCAAGCTGGAGGCCGCCGTGGCCGAGGCCGAGCAGCAGGGCGAGGTGGCCCTCAGTGACGCCCGCAGCAAGCTGGCCGGGCTGGAGGGCGCCCTGCAGAAGGCCAAGCAGGACATGGCCTGCCTGCTGAGGGAGTACCAGGAGGTGCTGAACTCCAAGCTGGGCCTGGACATCGAGATCGCCACCTACAGGCGCCTGCTGGAGGGCGAGGAGCAGAGGTGGGTGCAGCCGGGACAGTGGGGCCCAGAGCTTCATCTGCTTAGACCTGACCCGTTTTGTGCTCCGTTACTTCTCTAGCCTCCATTTCTTCTTCTGCTCGCGTCTTGGAAGCCTTTCAGGGGTCCTCCCTGCCCCGAGGAGAGGCTCAAGAGAATAGTCTTAGTTGAGGTCCACTGCCTGATTTCCAACAGTCTTGCGTGATTTAATTAGAGACAACGGTTTGCTGGTAAATGTGTGACAGCCGGCTCTCTGAAGGAAAAAAAAAAAAGTGCTGATTCGTAGTATTCACTGATTTCAGTGTGTAAATACTTCCATCATGCCTGAGTGCAAGCTACCACTCTGACTTCATGAAGAGTTGGCCAGAAATGTGCAAAATAGGCTCTGCGAGCTGGCGAGAGCTGGTTCCAGAACACCACTGGTTAGGGGCCAGGGTAGGAGGCCTCACACAGAAAGGGCAGATAGAAAGATGTGTTTCTATTAGGGAGATGGACAACCTGAGGCTCAGGGAGACTGGATTGTTCGAGGTCACATAGCCAGTCCGTGGGGGTGGGGGAGGCGTCTGGAGCTGGATTCCTGGGGGCAGGTGGCGAGATCTCTGTGTCCCATTGCATTTTGGCAGGTCCCGCTTCCCAGAGGAACTCTGAGAGAGTCTGCCCCCTGTGCTCTTTTGGGACAGGGTTGGGGAGACGCTGAGATATTGGGGGTGCTAGGCCTCAGACCTTCTCCTCTTACCTTCTGGGGAGGGACCAGGGCGATTCCCTGGGTGACTGGGTTCAGAGCTGGTGATGACAGGACTTCTGGGATCATCGCCAGGAACTCCTTCCCAGTCCTAATACTGACCTTTCCTCTCCCCGTCAGGCTGTGTGATGGCGTCGGCACTGTGAACATCTGTGAGTAACTCTGGCCCTGAGGGGGGACACTGGGGTTAGGCAGCGGGAAGAACGTTTTAGCTCTGAGGGTGGACAGACCTGGGGTTGGGGGTTCCGTTCATTTCCAGCCACACAGTTACAGAGGGTTGACAGGTCCCGCATGGAATAATTCCTCACTCCAGACCTATCGGAGTATCGGTCTTATTCTCCCCATCATAGGAAGCTCTTATTTGTTCCCTATCCAAACGCACTTGTCCATGTTCAAGATGTCCAACACTTTTTCTCAATTAAAACAGATATTTAGTCACCTTGGTTGTCCCCAGGGAGGTCTTCCTGAAACCAGTTACAAAAGAATAGATTAAGAAGAGATTGAGATTAAACTACAAGATGGGCTCCCTTCCCGTAAGGATAGGAGTCCCGAGGCCAGACCACAGGGAAGCTCACGTTGTCTTTGTCCCTGGAGATGTGGCTGAGCAGGAGCCATCCAGCTGGGTGCTCTAGGCTGGTAGGGAGGGACTTCTCATTGGAGTGGGGGCTGTTTGGGACCGGCTCCCCACCCCACCGAAGGTTGTGACTTATCATTGTCCCTGTGCAGGTGTGAGCAGCTCCCAGGGCGGAGTCGTCTGTGGGGACCTCTCAGCCACCCGCACCTGCGGCATCAAGTCTCGTGGGGTGGGAGCCTGTGGCAGCAGCTCTAGGAAGTGTTAAGCTGGCAGGGCTTGAGGAAGCACCCAGGCCCCCAGCCCTCTCACGCTTCCCGAGGATCCCAGCCGGCCCTTCTGCCCAACCTGACCACGTGTAGCCTGGTGGCGGGTGCAACTGCTCGATCTCAGCCGGACCCATCTTCCCTGCTGCCAGCTTCTCCTTTCTGGCTGTGCAGGAATCCCCCTCCTTGTCTCCTGCCTCCCCCAGGCTGAGAGAGGCTGTTGGGAAGAGTGACACGTGGAGCTATTCTGTTTGAGGATTCTGGGCTGCTGAGCCCGTGAAGAGGACAGCCCCTCAGCACCCCCACCTTCCCCTTCTCCTGCCCTCTTGCTCCTCCCTTCCTTTCCCATATCTTCTTTTCCTCCTTGCTGTCTGTGCTTACAATAAAGTCATGTAGTTCCTGTCACGCTTGTCAATCTTTCTGTCCATTATTTCAGGCCTGGAGGGTGGTGGGCGGGATCTCCAGGAGGGCATTCAACACGGCGGGGGCTGCTAGGGCCATGCCAGCCATTTATTCGATCGCGTGCTCAGGGCTGGGGGCGTTGAGGAGGGGGCTGTCACAGCTCAGGGCTCCCCGAGGTAATTCTCCAGTGCTAGGAAGTGTCTGGCACAGTTTTGGCTCATAGCAGGCACTGAGCAATGTTAGGAGAATGAATGAATTTGTCTCTAAGGTTTCCCGTTGCCCATAGGGCATCTCCACGTGAATGTTGCCCTGATACTTGGAATTCAAAATGCCTTAAAAACACCTCATCATTTTCCCCTCTACTGATGCCTATTTGTCAACTTTCCCTCTTTTTTTCAGTTCTCCCTAATATCTCCAGCTTAAAACTCATCAATACCTATTTTCCCCACATGAGTCACCAAACCTTGTCAATTTCTTCTTAAAAAAATGCCACAAGGAACTTCTTTTCTTGAAATATATCAGACTAGGAACTCTGAAAAACTCTTTGTCATAAGTCACTTAAAGTTCTGGATAATATATTTAAAAAATAAGGCGTAGGGCATGAACCCTAGGCCCATAAAAGGGAGAATGGATGCCATGTGCCTAACAGATAACTGGGGCTGTCCTCCACACAAGGGGAGGCAGGAAAGGACTCTGCAAAGGGAGGGGAAAGGGACATGACTTCTTGGCCCTGGTTTTGGGTAAAGAAGAAAAAAGTTCTCCCTGATAATACTGAACCACAAGTTTGTCCTCATATAGGTTTGGCCTGGGGTTCGTATTTTTTCTATGGTAAAAACTCATAGCACCCAAGGTGAGAACGTAGTTTCAAATGAGCCCAGGTTGGTGGTTCTCCTCCAAATCTGGTAAAAGCAAATGCAAATCCTTTCTAGAGGAAGGAATGCTACGAAAAGCCCCACAGAGAGTGTCCCAACAAACACAAGCTCATGGTTAAACGAAAATCACGGAACATGAGTAAAGATGCCATCATAAGCAGGAGTCAGCAGAAGCATTCCACACCAGAATCCTCCCTGTGAAGACTATAGATACTGGAATTAATCAGAGTTAGAAAAAAAAATGAATGTGTTTCATATGTTTAAAAAAATAAAAGAGGATATTAAAATATAACCTAGGGATAAGAGCTTTTAAAACACTAATAGACTGATTTGAAGAAGAATCAAATAGAATTTCTGGAAATGTAAACTATAACAATTATATGAAAAACCCAATGGACGGTTAAATAACACATTAGGCCCAATTAAAGAGAGAGTAAGTTGGCAGATAAATCTGAAGAAATTATCTGGAATGCAGCATAGAGAAACAAATAAATGGAAAATATGAAAGAGAAATCAATAAAAATAGACCGCAAGATGGCCCAGATGTTGGATTGATTAGATGAAGACTTTCAAGTGGCTATTATAAATATGTTCAGAGAACTAAAAGGATATTTAATCTTAACGAGTAAATAGAGAAATGGAAGTTATAAAAAACAAAATGAAAATTCTAGAATTGAAAAGTGCCACAAATGAAATGAAAAATTCAATGAATGGGCTTAACAGCAGATTGAAGGTGTCAGAAGACAGGTCAGTGATCCTGAAGACACAGGAATAGAAAATTTCCAATCCAAACAACAGAGAAAAAACATTAAAGAAAAAATAACAGAGCCTCAGAGACCTGCAGGACATTATCAAGCAATCTACTATCTATAATAAGTATCCCAGAAGAAAGGGGCCGGCCTGGTGGTGTAGTGGTTAAGTTTGCATGCTCTGCTTCGGCGGCCCGGGGTTCGCGGGTTCAGATCCTGGGCGCGGGCTGATCCACCACTTGTCAAGCCATGCTGTGGCGGTGTCACATATAAAGTAGAGGAAGATGGGCACAGTTGTTAGCTCGGGGCTAATCTTCCTCAGCAAAAGGAGGAGGATTGGCAATATCTGTTAGCTCAAGGCCAGTCTTCCTCACACACAGAAAAAGTATCCCAGAAGAAAAAGAGAGTGAGAATGAGGTGGAAAAATATTTGAAGGAATAATTTCCTGTATCTGATGAAAAATATTGACTTATAGTCCAAGATCTCAGACAGCCCCAAGCACAATAAATACAAAGATCTCACAGGCATATCATAGTGAAGATCCTGAAAACTGAAGGTAAAGAAGCTCGAAAGAAACCAGAAAAAACAGATACATTACATATAGGGGAGTAATAATAATCACTGCTGACCCTTTATCAGAAACAATAGAGGCCAGACAACAATAAACCCAGAATTCTACAACCAGCAAAAATATCCTTTAAAACAAGGGTGAAGTAAAGACATTTCAGAAACACAAAAATGGACCAAATGCATTGCCATCAGACCTGCAGGACAAGGAAAGGATAATGGAGATTCTTTAGGCTGAAGGGAGATGACACAAGATTGAATCTTGAATCTCGAATAGACACTTTACAAAAGGAGATGTATGAAGGGCCAATATGCACATGAGAAGTAGCTCACCATTATTAATCATCAGGGAAATCCAAACTAAAACCACAATGAGAAAAACCCCAAAACCCACTAGAAGGCTAAAATTTGAAAGACTGACAACACCAAGAGTGGAGCAGCTGGGACTTTCATGGAGTGTTAAGTGGCATAGTTACCTTGGAAAACAGTTTGGCAACTTCTTATAAAGTTGAACATACACTTACCAACTGACACAGCAATTCCCCTCCTGGGTATTTATCTGAAAGAAATGAAAATAGGTCTATACAGAGACTTCTCCGTGAATTTCATAGGAGCTGTGTTCATAATAGCCCCAACATGGAAACAACCCAAATGTTTATCAACAGGTGAATGGGTAAACAAACTGAGATGTATTCATGCGTTGGAATATTACTCAGCAACAAAAAAGAATGAACTACCATGTGGATGAATCTTAAGAACATTATGCTAAGTGAAAAAAGTCAGATACAAAAGAGTACATACTGTATACTTCTAGTCATATGAAGTTCTAGAACTGGCAGTACTAATCTACAGTGACAGAAATTAGATCAGTGGTTGCCTGGGATGGGGTGGGGAGACTGTCTGTGAAGGGGCA